GAGTGGGGCGGTGGCGGCGACGGTGGCCGCCTTCTCTCCCTCTCTCCTCCCCTCCGCCGGGCAGCCAGGCTCGCCCTCCTCCTTAACCTGCCGCGGCGGCGCCTTCTCCTAGCCGGGTTGGGGAAAAACCTCGGAGCCTTCCTGCGGAGAAAGGTTGCGAACGAGCCCCGGGGGCGAGCGAGGAAATGAGCGCGCCCTGCCTGCGGGTGGCGGGGTGACGTCAGCGGCTCGCGGCTGGAGCCCGGCCCGATCACGCTCCCGCCTGAACAGACGCTCGTGTCTGCGCGCCTAGCCAAATGCACGACGACCCCTCCCCGCCCTCTTTCCAATTCGCTCACGACCCCACCGTTGGAAGCCTTGCAGTAGACTTTCTCTGTCGGGTCACGGGTAGCCTGCCCTCACGTCGTCTGGATCAGACGATTGCAGGGCGGTAGATCTGAGCCTGCCTCTGGAGGTAACTTGGAAACTGTGTTAGTTCAGAAGCAGGTTGTGAGAATGGCGATTGGAACTGGGCAACATGATCTTGTTCTGCTGGTGCTTGGCCCACTGCACTGTGTTCTAGTTTGTCTTCAAGCCCAGTTCACCGTTTTGCCCTCTAAGCGCTTGGTGGCAAAGGCTAAGGTACCTGGATGCTGTCGTGTGTCACTTGTGCCTTTCTATGGTTTCAGAGCCGCATAGGAGATCTTTCAGTCTTCTTGCCATCTGAATCAGGGCAGCTGGTGGAGGGGGTGGGGGTTACTGGTGTTCTGCCCTTTGAATGCTGTGCCCAGACAAGTTCTTGGAATGCATTCTAATATCTTTCAAATACCAGAAGAGCTTTCTAATTTCTCCAAGCTTTTGCTGATCTGTTTTGTTGATCTGTTTCATAAGATCTGTTGACCTTATACAAATATTCTGAAGTTTTTACCATTTTTCTTGTTAAACTTAAGGATGTGAGCTGTTGTGATCCATGAAATTTAGAGTGAAATAGACATTTCAACAATTAAATGTAAAGAGGCAAAGAATACCTGTAATTTCCAGGTGATACTGCACCGATCCCAGCTTCCCCTCAGGACCATGGGCACTGCATTCCCAGATACCCGCATCCCTTGGTGACACCTGGGGGAATTCCAGGACTGGGCCCCGTTTCAGGATCTCAGGCCTCATGGAGACAGACTCAGACTGCGAGCTGTTGGTGGATTGCAAGTCCAGCCGCTTCCACTGAAAATGCTCTTTTCCTTTATAGTAGCTGAGGTTACAGTTGAGGAGCAAGTGAGAACCTTCAGCAATTCTTGGCCCAACAGTGCTGGGAATGACTGAAGGAAAGGAAGGAAACAGAAGTCACCAATGTCCTCACCTTCCTCCTGCCACGATGATTTAAGTTAATCAAATTGCAGCACTGTGACCTGGATCTGTATAAAGCATTCCCTCCTCCAATTATTCCCACACCTCAACAACCTTAGGTTGGGTTGAGAGAGGATGACTGGTTTAAAGTCACACAATGAGCTTCTGTAGCTAAGGATAGATTAGAACTGGGTCTCTTCAGTCCTAGCCCAACTCCATAGCTACTACACCTCACTGGCTCTCTGGATTTAATTTCATCCTATCCAGCCTAATTGTATTTTGTCTTCCTTAAGTTGGATGGTACACCACAGCATACTGGTGACACCCACCTCCAAAGCCCTAGATGACCTCCCCGATAATACCATGAACATTTTCAATAATCTGGGAGGCAGTGGGAACCCTGTGAGACCCCATGGGCTAGCAGCTTTGCCACAGGGTTCCAAGAGAGCCTCCTAGCACCAGCGGGTAGGGCCCAGCAGAAAGGACCATTGCAGGCAGTTCCGTGAGTGATACAGGGCAGAAACCGCTGCCATAATCTTTGCAGATGGCACCCTTTTAAGACTATTGTTTTGTTTTATTTTAATATTTTAAAACATTGATAAAACATCTCTAGTATGCTTGTTTTTTTTAAGACAATTCCAAAAATGCAATACCAGTCAGTACAGCAGTGCAGGAATATCTGCATCTTGCATACACCAGATGTTTTGTGAATGGCCATTATTTTGGTGTCTGCAGCTCTCTTTAATTTCTCTTTGATTTCTGTGGTTACTATTATATTGCTCAACAAAATATAGGTGTATGGTATTCCTATCTCGATACATTTTTTGCATCTAATGAAGTGTGTGCTAATTAATGAATGCTATAATAAATATGTCAGATGTTTTTTAAGGTGGAGCAAGACTCTTTCTCCCAAGATTTTAAAAATACTGTACCACTTTGTGACTACTCCCCAAAACCAAAGTTTTTAAAACTATTTTTATACTAGCACTATTGCATGCAGTACAATACTAGAATTAATGTTATAGCAACATGATATTAGAATATTATTGCATCATTTTTCCTACATAAAAGTCATGCTGAGCAATCTGTTTTAATTTCTGTACTTTAGTATTATATGCAATAATACAGTAAATTTACTACAGTGAACTTACTTGATCACTTTTTTTTTGTTAAACAGTGTTGTAACATACAACATTACAGTATATGTAGACTGTAAATTACCTTTTGTCCAAGGAAGTAGACAGTATATACATGTTTCTATAAATAAATGCTCTTTTTTCTTTTTAAAATCAGATCTACCCAACAAAATTATTTAACAATGGTTAAAGGATTAATACAAAAGTTTGTTATTGAGCTGAATTCAAGATACGTCTTATAACACACAAAACAATATAAGGCCTAGGATCTGGAAATCTAATGGCATGTGTGCTTCATTGTATACCAGGATGATTGTCAAATAAAATCTAGTTTGGATGCTCTCTTTAGCGCACTGCACTTGCCAATTATTCACTCTGTGGAGACTAATGAAGGGCATTTTCAACAAAAGTCCTCTGGGTATAGAGTTTCTTCCCCAGCCTTATAAGCCTGGTAGAGAATGACTGGCCCAAAGTTACATGTGAACTGTCATGAGTGAGGATGCACTTGAACCTGTATCATCACTGCAGTATTCCATTGGTTGTCCATTTCCAACATCCTCAACTGTTTTTAGGAAGCTGGAGAATATTGAATGAGAACCAGTCTGGTATAGTGGTTAAGGAACCAGGCTAGAAACCAGGAGACCATGAGTTCTAGTCTCACCTTAGGCACAAAGCAAGCTGGGTGACTTTGGGTCAGTCATTCTCTCTGTCACCCCTAAGAAGAAGGCAACTTCTGCAGAAACTAGTCCAACACTGACTCAATGGTACAAAATAAATACAAACATTCAACACCTTTTCTTCCTTTAATGTCCCTTAAGCCATATTTATATTCTATGCCCAGACTTCTTTCTCTCTCAAGTCCTTCCTCAAAACTTATTTTCTCAGAAGCAGAAAAAAATCAAGTCAGGCATCTCTTAACAGGGATTGTGAAACCAACTAGAAATTGCGTACAAAGAATCATAGCTATGAAATCTACAGTACTGAAAGCTCCCAGTGCAGGGATGAGGGGTGGGTGAGGCAAGAACTCAGAGGAGTGGGCAAACAATACAACATCAAGCTTGCCCCCCAAGAGCTCCCAGTACCACCAAATATAAATCATTGTTTCCACTCAATGTGGCTGAGTCTCAGATAAGTAACCATAGAATATCAGTCTTGGATTTTCTTTCTCAGATGAGCAGTACAAGCATTTAAAAACTTTAATGGAAGCTATAACTCTATAGCAGAGGTTATTCACATGGAGTCTGTGGATAGATTTCAGGGGGTCTATGAATCTGGATGGAAAAAAAGATGATAAATGTATTTTCACTAACCTCCAACTAAAATTTAGCTTGTCATTCAATAATGTATTTAGGCAATAAAGTAATTTATTGCCTGTGGACTCCAAAAACATTTGTTAATTTCAATAAATCCAACTATCTAAAATGATTATACCTTAAAAAGGATATTATCATGTTATTGATTTAATGGATTAATAAAGAAGCACATATATTACTACATTACATATTCGTTATTTTTAAAATCTTTTGTAACTATTTGAGCATAATTGGTTTCCTTCCATAATTGTGTTTTATTTTATGCACTTAAATACATCTTTCTGAGAAGGGGTCTGTAGGTTTCACCCAACCCTCAGAGTAGTCCATGAGACAGAAAGGTTAAGAGCCTTGTTCTATGGGCTATTCTGACTGCTTAGGTGAGTTTGTGCCTACATGTATTTTGATCTGCTTCCCCAACCTATTGCTCTCTGGATACATTGGCCATCAGTTCCCCCTTTTCAGGTAACCTGGCCAATACCTGGGTATGGTAGGAGTTGTAATTCAATGCACCTAGAAGACACCCCATTCAATTATTCCCAAGTGATAAATATTCTGGTGGTCCATGCTCCCTCCTCATAAGATAATTGTGCTGACCAGCCAAACTTTTTTGGTGGTGCTGGGAGGTGGGGGTGGGTTATGTTCCTTTAACGTTCAGGAAAAATCCCTTAAGGGAGGGAAAGGGTCTGCTACAGGTTCCTTCCTCACCTGCCATTGCTGCCAGGGTGACATTTTCAATGATGGTAATGCCTTGGATGGTGATCTCACAACGATACTGGCCTACATCATCTAATCCAACAGCAGGGAGATGAAGAGTGAAATCCTGATGGTTTTCATAACTGAGGGTGGGTTTCGCCTTCAGTTCTCTCCCTACCATGTACCTCCAGCGGATAGCCATCCTTGAAATTCCATAGTGCATGGGATTGGAATTCAGGACACAGGGCAGATGAGCGTCAGATCCAACTGCTGTATAGATGACAGAGGAGGCTTGCTCAGCAAATCCTAGAGAGAAGATATTAAAAAGAGCACTTAACATTTAGCAGTGGGTCACCAGAGAGTGCAAAAAGGAGTATTAGCTGGAATTCAGTGCACAATGCCCTTTCTGACTCATCAAGGATACTAAGAATGAGAGAGAGAGAGAAGCATGTTTTTACTCATGCTGGTTCTCCACCACCACCACCCCACCCAAGGTGAGGCAATTTATGTGACGAAAGGTGAGATGAAGAGGTTGGTCTTACCTATGACTTGCAGGTTGTATGTGGCAGCAATTCTCTGCCCATCTGCAAAGGTAAGTTCACAGACCCAGGGCCCAGTGTCACTACTGAGTGACCCTGAGATAAGCAGAGTTTGGCCCATAGGATGAAGCCGGTAGGAGGTGTGAATGAGGACACCTCTGTGGAACCAGAGGGTGTTGGTGGGATTTCCTGGGTGAGTGGAGTTGCAGTTCAACCTGATAGTTTCAGACTCAATTAGAGGACGAGAAGGGTGAGCAATGACTGTTAAGAAAAGGAAAACTGTATACTAATATTCATATGACACACTGTGATCCCTAGCCTACGGGAAGGTTGCACATATTAATTTACATATCTGCCTTGTTCAGAAGACCTCTTGTTTTTGTGATATGGAGGGAGTGGATGAGGAGAGAAGGGAACCATGATTTTTTGAAGCACTCTCAAGTTTTGATACTGTTAAATGAATATGCCTTACAGGGAAAAAAATGCTTAAAATAATAGGGAGCAACAAGGTAAGATGGTGGGGACTTTCACGTCCTCCTTAGTTTAGTCCAGTGGCTTTCTTTATAAGCATTGGTGTATAACAGTCTTAAGTACTTTACTACTTCTGTTAAGTGGGGGAAATGAATCATTTTGGAATGCTGAAACATTAAATCCCATAAATGCATGCAGCTTCAGAATTGCTCCTTGCTTAGCAATGAAGCCAAGCTTTTTAAAGAATCCAGCTAGCTCCAGATTCCACCTTTGTTCTTGTGAGAGTCTCTGTACCTCTTTGAAAGGGTCAGTTATTTTTATCTTTGGCAGCTATCCAATCCACCTACCTGACACCACACCAAGCTCCAACTGGCAGTGCCATTCCTCACTTCCGTGTCTCACGCATGCCTCATAGGTTCCTGCATCTTCCTTCAGCAATGGCTCAATCTGGAGTGAAAAATTCCCCTTAAGAAAGCCAGTGTCCCAGACAGTTACTCGGTGCATCATGGAATGGCCCAGACTCTTAAGCCCACTGGACTTCACCTTGAGCACCAAATGACGTTTCATGGAAGCACTGGTCACAAAGAAAAAAATTGTGCTGGATGAGTGGCTGGTAGCAAGGAAAAGGGAAAAGTGGAAAATAAAATAGAAGTCCCACTGACCCACTCAGCCCTCCATTCCAATGTTGATAGACCTGGGTCATCCTGCCTTACCTGCCTCCATGACGCACCCAGTGAACCTCTAGTCCTTTGTATAGCTGCCTCAAGTTGTCCTTCAGCTTCTGATGACTCAGATGGCAGGGAAGCATCACTCGTGTGCCTTCCTCACCCCACACCCTGTACTTCTCTCCTGTTGAACAAAGAATATTTCTGGCTGCAAGAAGATATTGATCCAAAGCCAGAAAAGGATGCTATGAATATAGCTCACCTCTCAGCCTAACCAGGATAGAGGAGGCTGAAAGAAGGCTTGGAAGGGGACGATCCGTGGTTTTAAAACAGGGAATACAGCTAGAGAGAATCACGTATTAGGCAGCAAGGGCTCAAATGCAAACAAAGGATGCAAAACATAAACAATTACTGCAGATCTTCTGCCCCCACCTCCACCGTAAAGAAAGAAATCTACCTGCACTGTCTTACCATTGGTCACCTGCAGAATGAGGACCGTGGTGCAGAAAAGCAAGACTACAGTCATTGTGGCATCAGAGAGGAGGGCCAGTCCTCCAGCCTCCGTACTCTCTTGCCAATTAGCGTGGCTCTGAATGTGGGAGGATGGATCTGGTGTACACAAGAGAGTCAGACTAAGGTAGCAAAGGTGAATCTCTGATCAAAGAAGACTAAGGATTGCCCTTATATTGCAGGTGGGCTGTTGGTTTCCTGACAGCACCGAAGTGAACGTCACAGCCGAGAAATTAAACCCAATTAAAAAAAAAAAAAAGCAAAAAACAAAAACATGTGCAGGAAGACAGAGTGGTGTTCTGAAAGCACCCTAGAATGGAAACTGTTTCTTTCTCATTCTGTCCACTCATTAACTATTGTTTTTGCTTGCAGTGGAAAATATATATATATATATATAGAGAGAGAGAGAGAGCTAATTTCTCAGGAAGTACCCTTGGTGTGTTTTTCTTTGAAGTGTTGTACTTTTCTCCTTTATGACCTTTTCTTTTTCTTTGAAATAATAATAGTAATAATAATAATAATAACAACAACAATAATAAAATTCATGATATTCAAAGTGCTTCATAAACACAGATATTATTTAACACAGAAACGAAACCTACCCCCCCCCCCAATTTGCTGCCTGTAGCAAGGGGCACGTGGTGTCCCTCCAACTGAAATGTCTAGGACCATTAAAAGTTGACAAAATTGGTTTCAAAGGAACATTTGATTTCAGGCTGGTAGATAAACAAGCATAATCTATACTACTAGCTCATTTGTAGATATTCCTCAAAGCCAAAGAAGAAATTGGATGCAGAAAAAAAAGCTGATATTTTTCATAAGAGCTATACATGATTTATCCCACTTCTTCCTGCATTTATCACAAGGAATTAATTGCACTGACCCTACTAGGGGGAGCAGGGCTCAGAAGAAATGGCCAGGAGACAACTGTGCTACTGCCACCTCTTCCTGGCCCATGACACGTTTGCCTAGTGATGGGGTAATTCTGTGTCATTAACTGATTTGCCAAAACTCATGCATTTGTTCACTTTGCAAACATGACGGAGCATTCAGAGAATTATTCCTCAAGAAGGAATTTCTTCCCTGGCTATTTTAGAATGTGCATCAGAGAGGGGGAACCCATGGTATAAAATACTTCCAGGCCTTGTTGCTTCTTTTCTCTTTTCCTGTTTTTAACAATATGCTAACTGCCGTTTTGCAGGGCCACCAGGGACTATGTTGTTCTTGAGCCATGAAGGCCAAAGGCTAAGCCTGATCTGGAGAGGAACAGGAATTATGTATTTCCTTTGGCCATTTGCTTAAACAATGCTGCTTACAGTGATGTTCACAGGAAATATTTGAGCCTTATGAGAAGGCCCGTAGGTCACTCTAGAAAAGAAAATGAAAAAACAGAAATCTAGAATAGAGGAGTTTATATATTACCAGAAAATCGTTGCAAGGATAAATTCTCTGAACTGCCTGTGGACTGAATGATAGGCTAGAATGTTTATTGGGCAAGGAAGGAAGGACAGAAGGGGGAAGGAGATCCGAAGTGAACTTCCGTGCAAATTATTTGAATGTGAGTCAAACTTTCCATATAATCATGGATCTTGCCTTATCAGAGTCTGAGGACGTGGGGTGAGGCCAGTGTGTATGGTGTCATTCTTCTATGTAGATGTTCCAAAATGCCTAGGGAAGGCTATAGACATTCAGCCAAACTAAAAATCATTTAACACTGCCACAGGGCAAATTTCTATAGTCTTATATCATAACTAAGATGATTGCTTAGTTTTGAAGTTTTATAAGCTTAGCCTTGGAGATTAAGGCATACATGGGACACCTCCCTCCCCTTTTTTCCTTGCAACAATTTAGGATCAGTTGAAAAAGGATAACCTATCTAAGTCATCCAATGAACTTCAGGCCTGAGTGGGATTTTGAACTGGATCTTCATGACCATGGTGCACCTAGGTGATAGCACCTCACCAGTCTTAACTGATCTTAATAAAGCTGTGCAGGGATGAAAAGTTCCTGAATGGGAAACCCAGGAAATCCTAGGGTTATAAAGTAGACTGTGAATTCAAAAAAATATCTTGCATGAAGGCAATGGTAAACCACTTTTATAACACTACCATGGTTATATCGATAAAGTCACTAGATGTAGCTTGACTTGGAGACTTTACCATTATATCATCCCTGGTCCTAGTCTGGCACTTCAATAACTACAATGGCCTTGAATAAACAGTAGTTGTTCTTTTTTTCCTCTGGTTCTTGTCTACCTGGAATTCTTGCATTTCTTCAGTTTATTTAATAAGAGGGAAGAAATATTTAAGCTGAAAAAAATCAACACATTTCTTGAAATTTGCAAAACAAATTCTTGAAAGCTGAATTTCACATACATTATTTCTTCAGGTTATAAGAAATTCTGTTTTAGGTTTATTGGGTGGCATCTGTAAAAATGCTACCATCATTTATGGGTAATTTGGAATTCATAGTGTTTGTTTTGTATATGGGGAAGAGGTATTACTTATTTTCCACTGACTTTACATGCCAAAACATTGTTTAGCAATTTTCCATCCTCATAGGACGCGTTTGCTGTGCACCTTAACAGAAAGTTTTCTCTGTGTTCTGCTGTAATGATGACATGGAGAATGAGGCTTGCACAGCTTTCAGAGACCTGCTTCTGACATTGCATGTTACCTTAGGAGGTTCAGAATACAGTTGCTATTCAGCTATGGGAATGTGTCATTTAATGACCCCACTGGGTCTTCACCATTTCCAAACCCAATACAAAATGTTACTACTAACCTTTATGGTCTGTAATCAAGGAACAGGAGATTGGGCCTTTTCAGATACTGATGGACTGCATGGCTGATGAGGAAGGACTTAAGGGGTTCAGTAACATTTGGAGGCTCCTGAGTTTCCCAGCTTTATATAAATTACTTGAAATCTACAGTATATATCTGAAGGATCAACACTTTTGTGACTAAAAATCTCCTTGACTCTTCCATTAATTACCAGAGGCTTTCCTTCACATACTCCAGACTTCTGAAGTGAAGAGGAGCTGGTAAGAGGGATTGATCAAATGTTGCATCTCAAACATGGAATGTCCCATTTACGAGGAAGCTTCACCTGGCATGTTTTACTTATTATATTTTTAATCCATTCAGCAACTGGAATTTTAAATAAATCCTTTTGGTGCCCATCAAAGATTTTGTTCTTCTCTCAAACCTTTCCAGGCAACATTTGCTGGGTGATTTTTTTTTGGTTTTATACTAGCTTTTTATTATTTTATGTTTTCCTGGGTTACCTTATGATTATTGCTTTTTTTATATGATACTTCTTGTATTTTTCTGTGAATAATTTGCGTGATTGGGTATCTATTTGTGCAATGGGACTTCTCTTCCCTCTTCTTTCTTATTATCCTAGCCTCTGTAGGTCTTCCGGGAATGTCACCCAGTCCTCTGGAGAAATTTGAGTGCGTGGACATAGATCTACAGGAAGAGGGCCAATAGACCATCTTTTTCATTATAAGATGAAGCCTCTGTGAGAGGGTTTTCCCCCTGAAGGTTGACATGCAATGGAGGTCAATATCAGTGGGCACATCTGGCCATGCCCACGGTTTATTAAAGATTGCAGTTGAATTGGTGGGCAGAGCACTAAATAATGAATGAAATTAAGAAAGTAAAATAGATATGCTGGATGTTTGTGAAACTGAGAGAAATGTAGAAGATATAATAGATCTGAATGAAGAAGTTTAAAGAAGAAAAAGCAGCATATAAAGTTGCATATGAATATGGTAGAAGCAAAGATCACTTACAAGGATAAAAAGATAGAGTGAAGTGTAGTGAGAGGTATTGGTTCAATCTAGATTTTGCTATCTTTCCTTTTATTTTTCTCACCATGTACCTTAATTTATTTTGTGTTTTATTTCTTCTTTTCTGCACTTTGCCTAACATTGCATATCTTGAGTGGGAATAGCAGGACTGATATGCAGGTGTAAGAATTACAACCATCCATTTAAAATCAGAAAAAGGCTTGTATTCAAAGCATTACCTATCTAAAGACATATGTAGACTTGCAGACTAATCTTTCTACAAATTAAGACAAATGTATGAAAAACAGTGTTGAAATATAGTGGCTTAGAATGAGTCTGAGAGGACTCATTCCTTTCCATCCATCGGGGGTGCATCCCATTTCATGCCAGCAGTCTTTCTTCCAGAAAATTCAAACCAGAAATAAAAACTGTCTTGGTGGCACTTTCTGTAGTAGTCATTCACTTGCAGTGTTTTTCTTTCCATCTCAAGTCCCTTTCCATGCCAGAAAAGAGAAACAGAAAACTCTGAGAAACAGACAAACCCTGAGTGGTTGTCTGGATTTTGCAACTCAGATAGGGTAGCTCTGGGCAGTAGGAAAGGAGCCCTGATGGTGAGAAGGAAGAGGAATGGGGATGGAGAGAGACAAAGCTGTGGAGTCCTAGGGGTTTCTGAGGTTGGTTGTTTTCCTGCAAACGTTTCATTACCTGTAACATCTTCAGTGCTAGAAGGGAGTGGGGTTTGCTCTCTGTTTATATACAGTGGCATGCCCTGCCAGTGTTGGTGGGGGTGCGGTTTTCTTTTATTTTTTCCCTCTGGTAGTTCCTTGATTGGGGTATTGTTTACTGCTTGATTGTATGTCTGGTGGTAGTCTTGGTGTTAATCTCTGCTTATCTGGGTGATGACTGCTGGTGAGGAGATGTTCTA